CACTGGGACTTGGATCCCCTTAATTTCATCTCTCAGGGGTGTAAATTTTTCAGTGACACAGTGTGTGTAGACCAGGCCATAGTAACATCCTCAGTAATCTTAAAAGAGTTTGGGATGTTTAAATGCCACTTGTTTGTTTCCCGTGCAGTCTCAAAGGATACTCAACCATTTTCTGTGTTTTTACATTTTCTGTGTTTTTACAACAAAGAACAGAGACTCATTTTTGAACTTTAAAATTAAATGATACTCTTGAGGTTTTAAACAGATCGACACACTACAAAAGACCTTTCAAATCATGTTAACGTTTAAGTAATCTTATCTTCCCCCCCTCTCTCACAGATCAAACTACTCCCACCTATTTTAATGAGTAATTCAAAGCCATCTGAAGGTTTAGTCCTATGCACCATCTCCTCTCAGCCCAACTGATAAAGACCAACATGTGACTAAACTTCACCAGTGCCAGGAAGAGGGAAGAGATCTGACTATCGTTTTTGTTGAGCAACTCCAGTGTTGCAATTTTCTTTGAAGAAGCTGAAAAATACCCTTTTCCTCTCCCCGTCCCCGGTACACTCGCTGCCACCACTGCGCAAACTGGGAAGGGAACAGCCACTGCTCTGCTGGAGAAGGGATTGAAAACCAGCCCCAGATCTGCCAAACCTGGGGGGGAGGGAAGAGAGGAAGGAGGCTTCAGTTGGTAGAGTCACTTGTGATCTCTCCCCCGGAGGGGGGGGGGTCTCGCCCCACTCTCCCTTGTTTGTCTCTGTGCCGCAGCGAGACACTGCAGCAGCCACTTCTCTCGTTCAACCCGCCCTAGCTCCGCGCCCCGGCCCTCGGCAAAGCCCCAGCTCGGGTAGGAACCGGCCACACGCCGCGCCGCGGCTGCAACTTCCCTCTGGGCGGGCATCCCCAGCCGCAGCCCAAGCGCGGTCCCGGGGGGGAAAAGGAGACGTTGCACTCACACGCAGTTCCCGCTCTCACACGGACACGCACAAGGTCCCTTCCGCCCGCCTCACGCAGTCACTCACCTGCCCAGACAGAGGCGGCAGCAGCAGCTGCTGCCCCTGAGCCGCCGCCTCCCAGCCAGCGCGGCAGCAACTGAGTGGCCCGTTACCGGTAACTCACATGGAACCGCGAGGCCTCGGGATGCGCGCGCGCGCGGACGCCCTAGAGCTGAGGTGAGAGGGAGGGCGGTTACCTAGGCAACAGCTTCCCCCTAACTCCGCCCCCCACCAACCCAGCCAATCCGATTGCGGCTTTCAACATCGGCCTCGGTTGGCTTCCCGCTCGCTCCTGCTGACAGCGCAGGTTAGAGGTGCGGAGGGGGGATCAGGCCCGGGAGGGGAGGTCTCAGACTGGGAGCGGGGATTGCCTCTGAAGTGCAACGCAAAGTGGGGGAAGGGAAGCGGCTCGGGAGGAGCCCGGGCAGGGTGGCTTGCACCATGGATGGGCCTGTGAGGACGAACGGAGGGGCCCGGGCAGGGTGCGCTGGGAACGGGCTGGGCGAAGGAGCCTAGGCAGGGAAGGTAGCCCCTGGGCTACAGGGGGCAGGGAGGGGCGAGAGGCTATTACAGCACCTGCTGAGCTCATCTTTCAGCATCTGGACGGCTCCATTATGACTGATACCCAGCGTGTGGGCACCTGCATCGCTGGAAAATATGGGGAGATGGCAATGATCCATAATGCGCTCATCCTGCTTCAGCCTGCCACGCCTGTCAGCAAACCCCAGCATTAGGGCAGGGGCATGAGTGCCCAGGTGCACAAGGGGCCAGCCTCACTTAGGCACCCCAATGTGAAGACTTGTACCAGGATCAGGCTGTGCTAGACTGTGAGTACACTGCAGGTGAAGGGCAAGGGATGCCCCAAACTGGGTACCGAGTGGCAGCTACCCAGGAGTTACAGCAGTCCTTCCCTGATGCCCCAGCCTACGACTTGGCAATGCACCCATGAAAGAATGGACTGGGGTTGGAGTTCTGCTGCTCACTTGCTGTGTGATGGAAAACTTATGAGTTTGTTTTCATTTTAACAGTGTTCCTGGAAATAGCTGAATAAGTGCCAAGTCCAACTTTGAGTAATAGTCTTACAGCCATTCTCTGACACCTGCCCTGGCCACAACACTGTAATTGTTTCCTGAGCAGGAAACAACAGGGTAAAAAGATCTTACTATTCCTTATTTTTATCATACTATGTGTGAAGTTGGCCCTAGGTTTTGTAGGGTCCTCAATGAAGTAACTTACAGAGTTGCCCCCAGTTCTCTTCCACAAGAGGAACTGTACTCAGGTGCCCTCTGACTTGCAGTGTCCCTGCCTTCCCTCATCCCCAAATCTTGGTTATTCAAAAGTGAACCTAGAAGCAGCAAGGCCCTGTGGGCAGCAGAGGTGGCAGAGGCCCATAGAAACACAGGGTCCTACAGTCCTGGTTACATATTGGTGGCAAGTCTCCCCGAGACCAAAAATAGAGCAGCTGCTATGGGTGGTTCTACTTAAGAGCAGCCTTGATTGTAGAATAGTATTACTGTTTTGTGTGCTAACAGTTTTTTTGATGTAGTGAGACTGCATCCATTACTTATTCATTGTAGCAAAACATCACATTATAAATAAATTCTGTTATTGCTACTACTGTACAACTCATCTTAAGTTAGTATCCTCCCTGAGGGTGTCTTTGGAAAACTGCAAGTTACATAATATATTATTTATGCATCTTTACAGTGAGGATTCTTACAAATTAGGGCCATGTTTTAAAAGGGGTCATCTTCTTTGTTCACACGCAGCTGGGAAAGGTTCTTAAAAGAAGAGCACTTTGAAATGGCTGTTGGAAAATAGCAGGGGAGGTTTTATTACAGGAGCTTCTTTCCCTGCAGCAGCTGATTCTAAAAATGAGGATTTAGCATGGATCTTTTAATGTAACTGTTACAGAAAATTATGTGGAAACTAATAAATGCCACTGAAAGGAGTTAAAAATAGGCAAACTGTCTTTAAAAGACAATCAAAGAAAAGGAAATTTGAATGTTGTTTTTGTGTACCTGTAACTTATGAAATACACATGCTGTTCCTGTGTACCTATAACTCAGACAAAATGAATTTTGCACACAGTGAGCGTAGGCTCCTGCTCCCACTGAGGTCAATGCCAAAATTCCTATTGACTTCAATAAAAGCAGAATGAAGCTTTAGTACATTAATTTTTTCATATTTAAAATGGAATATAGTCATGGTAAGCATATTAAAAACACTTCCTTAGCATAGTAATCACACTTTATATTATGGGGTTTTTTTTCAGCTTTGAATAGAAGCAAAAGTGAAATTGACCAGTATTTTTATTTTCAATTTCACTTTCAGATACTCATGCACTAACAATGCATAATGCTAGGGTTGGCAAAATTGTAGCAGAATGTTTGTATGTTCTACTCGAAGATTTTGGGAAGAATGAGGAACTTCAATCCCAACTCTCTCCAGTTAACCTAGGTATTGCATGGGAGATCAGTGGGTGATGCAATAATTTTAGGCAAAATGTCCAAGTTACACATGAGTCAATAATAGAGCTTGCCTACCATGTGTCAGATTTTTGCACAACCTTACTCTTCATTGTTTGTCTGAATTAATAGTTCCTGTGAGTGCTTATTTTCAGTTCCTTTAGGATTATTTAATATCATGGATAAAATGTAACAGTTCTTTCTGAATATCATGATCTTAAAGAATATGTAGGAATATGATAAATGCTTCTGTATAGAAAAAAATATAGTATTTGTTAATATATTTTAAATGAAAACTAAACTCATCAGGTGAGAGTTTTGATCATAAAGATATTTATCTCTCCGTAGGGCAAGTTGTCACAGGTAGCAAGCTAACACATGCACTTTTGCTCATCACCCTAATTCATTCAAATTAAACCAATCCATCTGAGTTTTTTTGTGTTTCTCTACCAAAGGAGATTTGTTTGCAGAAACAGGTAGCATGAAAAATTAGCAATATTTGACTCTTTGAGAAGTGTTCTACTTTATTATTATTTGAAATATTAAATCTCAAACATCTAGGTTTAGAAATTTAGTTGGCATTAGTGATACTTTGTAGTACTTTGACTGTTTTTGGAAAGGCTGGGTGGAAATTGTTTAGAAAACGCTTATTTATTCTGGCTTTTGCAAATTTTAGGTTGTTCTGCATGTGCCAATGCAGTTTTTATAAGGTGCAAACCAGCTTTGGTTTTGCTGAATCTTTAGTGGACTGAGCAAGGGGGCTGGGATTCATAAACTCTGGAGTCTTCACTCTGCCATCCTCTGACTTTAATAATGATATTTTGTAGTTGAACAGCATCTGTTATCCACAGAACTCAAAGTACATTACAAAAAAACTAATACTGGGTAGGCAGTTCCTATTATACTTATTTTACACATGTGAATCAACTTCAATGGGGTTGCGCCCCCTTGGAGATCATACATGATTGAGATCTTAGATGGTAAGCTCTTTGGAGTAAAAACTGTTTTAATTTTATGTCTATACAGTTCTTAAATAAATAAGGGTATTGAAGAGGTCTCAACCACTAGGCCTTTGATCAAGACATGAAGATATTTGGAGTTATAACAGGTCACCTTCCTGTAATATTGTGATACTTGTCATAAATTCCTAGCTATCACAAATGGTGCACAGAGTGGCAAGCATCTGGGACAGAATTAAAGTTGTTTGAAATATTTTAAATCTGCATTTTATATTCTCCACTACTTGGGAGAGAGAAAAAGGGGAGGTTTTAAATGTAACCGTAACTTTCAATTTCTTAATTTTCAGTCTCTCTCTGAAAATAACATTCTATTAATGCTTTCCCCCCCCCCCATCCCCAGCTATTGTTACATACAACAACAGTGTAACAAAGGTTTTGTCTGGGAATTTTGTATCTGAATCATGTCTGTTCATGTAAAACAATGTACACCTAGGGCACATTTTTGCACACTGAGAACATGTAATACTTTTGGGGTGATGGGTGATTACAAAGCATGTATTCTCTCACATTACTTTAGCCACTGCTTTACCAAGAGAACTGAGAAGGGAAAAGGAACTGCTTTACCAGGAAAAGGCACTAACACACAAGGTAAGTTTGCAGATAGTACAAAAGTACTGTAGGGATAGATGCAAACACCTACAAGAAAAGAAGAAAAAACACAAAAAATAGAAGACGCAAGACAGTTGATAGGAAGCAAAAAGAGATTGGGGGTTAAAAATCAACCTAATGTACTGAGAGAAGTATCCAAAACAACAGCTACATAGTAGGATTGGAAATCCTTAGAAAATAATTGGGGCCAAGCAAAACTACAATGTAATTGTGAGTGGCAAACAAGATATTATCTTACTTTATTGTTACCACCATATCACAAAAAACAATCTTCATAGGGTAGTTTATGCACAGGCACTTTTTTGAAAAGTACCAGATAAAATCAGAGCCCTGGTGAATATATTTTTTTCTCCTCAAAAAACATGTTCTATCCAAAGCTGCAAGAGTACAATTTTGAGAGTATAATGGCTACTCTGTTTGCTACAGTCACTCTATTATCAGTATGACATCTACTGTAATACATGTAACGAGCTTTAGAACTCCTTGCGTATGAAAAGTAATGTGACAGACTCCTAATATAGTAGTGAGGGAATACCCAATTCCGTACAATTTTGGATTTGGGGAATCTGTCAAAATGAGATGTACAAAACTAGTTTGAATTTGTAACCCTTTTCCCTGTATTTTAAACTTTTTTCCTTAGCTGTATTAAAGAAAAGATTATGAGCCTACATCATATATGGAAAAGAAAAGGAAAACCATCTGTAAAAGCTAAGCTGAGACAAGTTGTGCCCTAAAGTATATGCAATTATATAGATTCTGGGTTTTTTTTTTGTTCAATTTGCCTCTTTTCCCCTCTATACCCTCACTCCCTCCCCCTCTCAGTTTCTATCTGTCACTGCTTCCCCTCAATTCTATTTTACCCATAGATTTTCATTAATTTTTTTCTCTACCCTTTCCCTCTTCCTGCCCCGTCCCACTCTCCATAGAACAGAAAACAGATAAGTTTTATGTATGAGTGTGTTCAAAGTTAGATAAAATGAGTTCACCTATCCTTCACAGTAATGTAGGCAGAAAGAGAATTTAGGATTTGAGTTATTTCAGGTTGATCCATTAAGGAGAGCTGGCACTGGTATGGGCGTTGGTTTCAGATAAATATACTTTACAGCCTCTGAAATGTCTACTTTACCCGTAGGGCTGGTATGACTTCCCCTTTTGAGTAAAGGTTTTAGCCACCCTTATGTCCTCATACACTTATGTCCCACCTTGTTAAATATGTTCTGTGTTGGCCAGCACTGCTTTTTATTTGCTTCTATCCTTTCTTTCTCACTCAGAACAGAATGCAAGAGACAACAGCACATAAAGGAAACACCTAAAGGAAAACATCAGTCTGCAAAAACGGCATTGCTGGAAACGGGTGAACTAATTAAAGAGGAGACCAAAACAAAGGTTTTCCCCTTCAGAGGTGCTCTGCAAGTGATTTTTTTTTAACTGAACTTGTTCCCTTTTTTACTTCCTATGATACATAAAGAACTTAGAAAACTTTTTCCTTTATTAAAGATTGTTCTGTTCATTATCTTAGGTGCCAGGAATGTCAACTCTACTCTTCCCTAGTTTTGCTGCAAGATCCACTTGATATCTCAAAGAATGTATATTGTTAACTCTTACACCCTAACTTAACGGATGGAAGATGGTGAATCTTTACTGTTTTGGAGAAAGAATATTGCTAGTGATTCAAGTTAAAAAGGTGTTAACAAAAAAAATTTAAACAATCAGACCTATTTCCTGTTATTTCAATCTTGGCCTATGTTTTCCAAACATGGGTGCCTGAAGTTAGGTGCCAAAAACCATATTTAGGCTCCTAAAATAAAAAGTGGTGATAGGTACTACAGCTTCTGGTGACTTCAGTATGTGAAGAGAGGATATTCGTGAAACCTACAGAAGAATTCTGTGTATGAGGTCAAAATATTGCAACACATGGAATATTGCAACAGTTTGTAAATGATGTGATAAAGAAGTAGCTGGATATGGGTAGGAGGCTATTACATCAAATTCAACACAGAACACAGCCTATAAACAAAAGAGATCATACTGGATTATTTCCTTCTGAATGATAATTTTTAAACAATATGATATCAGCACTGGCCATGGCCGTTATGAGTTTCAGAGTGTACAGTTAAAATGCTAATGGATATGAAAAGGGAAACTTGGCAACCAGTAGAACACTGATTTTTTTTTTAAACCAAAATGTTAATTTAGAAGGTATACTTATGTGCTGGTCTCTTATTACCCTTGCACTACCATGTGTCCCTATTATAAGCTTCTCTTTGTTTCTCACAGCTAATACAATGAAGGGGGAGGCAATGGCAAATAATGGGCTGAGTGACATCAGACTGAAAATGCAGATGTCAGACAAAACGGATATACAGCTTGGCTAACGAAGCCAGAGCCTGCAGCAAGAAGTTGTCAATAATGCTTTGCTATATCAAGTTATTTAACATTTACAAAATTCACTGCAAAAATTTACTGTTAATGCAACATCGTTGTTGAGAATTTACAGTATCTGCAAAGGAGACAGGAAATTCAGACTACTCCAGCTTTACCTGTAACAAAATGCTCAGCAGCTCAGGTTGCTTTGTGTGTGTCATTCTGGTGCTCCAGTCACTCAGCTGGCTTGCCATTGAATAAAGAGTCCAATTTAAGGTCTCCAGCTTCATATTCAAGCTCTCAGTGGAATCAGCCCAAGCAACTCGAAAGATTGCCTCTCCCCAGAGTCCTTGACCTCTCATGCCAGCTGCAGTCCACCAGAAATATCAGACTATCAACCAATAGCTCCTAAAGCTTTTAAAACAGCCTAAAGCATCTAAATTTCTAATCTGGAACTAAGGCAGAGAGTAGATGCCTCCTGAATGCTGCCATCCTGGACTGAGGCATATATCCATGCTGATACTGTCCAACTAGGCAGCAATCATTTGACAGAGATGCCAATTCAAATCTTTTGGTGAAGGCAAACAATTGCCTATCACTGATTATTATTATTTTTATATTCCAGTAGCCTCAATCAGATGTAGGCACCCTACCAACATATTAGAAGATTGAAGCTTCCCGTAAGAGCTTACAAACTAAATAGACAAATCAGATGAAGAGTGAAGGAAAAGGAATCAAGCACACAAGCCGTAGTCAGTGATAAGTGGCTATGTGATGTTAACTACATATGTTTTTTTAAAAACTTTTTGTTGTCGTTTTTTAAAATATAAATTTGGGAATAGGGCAAGGGGGGAAGGAGATGTGTAATAGAAGCACATGAATAGTGGGAAAAGGAAGGAAGGGCAAGACAATATTGAGAAGGGAGGGAGGAAAAGGGAGAGAAATACAGGAAGGATGGAAGGGAACACTATGTCTGTTTTCTAGGTATGAAAGGAACAACTGCAGAGCAGTTCCTGGCAGAACATCAGTATCACTAGTCAACCTAAGCAGCAATCCATGATCAGTGGAATCAAAATCTGTTGAGAGGTCCAGCATGAGAATAAATGCCAGTTGACCTCAAATTAACAAAAGATCAGTGCCGTAACAAGGGTGAGGCGAGTGAGGCACTTGCCTCAGGCACACAAAGCTGAGGGGCACAGAAAAAGACAAATTAAGTTTTTTAATTCTTATTATTTTATGAAAAATTATAATCACATAATATGCACATTGCGTCATGACAAATGTACAATGTAAATGGCAAATAAACAGAATACACCCTACAGTAATTATAAAGCATTGGTTCTCAAACTGGGGGTTGCGACCCAGTTATGTGGGGGGTAGTGAGCCCCAACCCCAGCTGCAAGTTGCAAGCCCCGACCCCTGCGCCTGGCTGTGAGCCCCGACCGCGATGCATGGCTGTGAGCCCCACCCGCTGTGTGGAGCTACGAGCCCCAACTGCTGCGCCGGGCTGTGAGCTCTGACCCCGACAGGGACGCACGCAGTGATGAGCTCCCAAAATCCTAAGAACCGGTTCCCTACCAGGTCCTCGGTGGCACTTTGGTGATGGGGGAGGGGGGGTTTTCACTCGCTCTGGGTTTTCAGTGGCATTTCGGTGGCAGGTCCTTCACCCGGAGCGAGTGAAGGACCCGCCGCCAAAGTGCCACCGAAGGCCCAGTAGGGAACCGTGTGGTGAGTACGGGCCCAGAGCTCTGGGGTAGCGGGGGGGGGGGGCTCCAAGGGCTATTTAAAGGGCCGGAGCTCCAGCAGGTAGAAGCAGGGGAGCCCCGGGCCCTTTAAATAGCCCTGAAGCCCTGGGGTAGTGGGGGGCTCCAGCTGCCTCTGCCGCCCCAGTCTTTTAAATAGCCGCTGGAGCCCCCCTGCTTCCCCCAGGGCTCCGGCGGCGCTGCGGGGGGGGGGGGGGGAAGCGGGGGAGCGTCCCCTGCTGGGAGCTCAGGTGGGCCAGACAGAACGGTCCCACGGGCCAAATGTGGCCTGCGGACCGGAGTTTGCCCACCTGCCCGCCCGCCCCTTTAGGAACCGGTTCTGCACCGGCTTCTACATTTAACAACTGGTTCTTGCGAACCGGTGCAAACCGGCCACCACTGGACGTGCGGCTGCGAGCCCCAACCCCTGTGCCGGACTGTGAGCCCCGACCCCTGCGCCCAACTGTGAGCCCCGACCCCGGCGTGCGGCTGCAGCCCCGACCCCGACCCCTGCGCCGGACTGTAAACTCCGACCCCGACCCTAGTGCACGGCTGTGAGCCCTGACCCCAACCCCTGCGCTGGGCTGCGAGCCCCGATCCCAGGCTGTGAGCCCTGACCCCGACCCCTGTGTGGAGCTACGGGGCTACAAGCCCTGACCACTGTGCCGGGCTGTGAACTCTGACCCCGACAGGGATGCGTGGCTGCGAGCTGTGAGCCCTGACCCCTGCGCCAGGCTGTGAACCCCGATCCTGACCCCAGTGTGCAGCTGTGAGGCAAGCCCCGACCCCGACAGTTCATGATGCACATCTTATATGTATTAGTTGATTTTGTACGTGGATCTTATGATTAAAATAAACGTTCTATTATCATTATTATTCTTGTTATTTACATTTTTTTTTTTTTTTTACAAAGTAACTACTATGAAATTATATGGAGCGGGGAAGGCACAATTTTATATTCTTGCCTCGGGTGCAAAAATAGCTAGTTACGGCTCTGCAAGAGATAATTCATGACCATGACAAGTGTCGTCCCAATGGAATGCTGGAACCCAGAATGGAATCTGCCAGGGGGGTGGTGTCCAGATGCACATGGAATTGACAAGCTCTCCCTTCTCAACCACCTCTGCAAAGGAGGTGAAGTTTAAGATCATGCAGGATTGAATAGCAAGTACGACCACATCAAAGGAAAGTATCTTGAAGAGGGGTTAGACCTCAGTATGTTTAAGAATTGTCAGCATCTTCTCCTCGCTCAGTGAGGTGTTAGTAATGCCTCTCAATATTGACACCATGGCTACCACACTTGCTTTGAGACACCAATATGAATAGGGATCAGGACCACAAGTGGTGGACCTCAAGAAACTGAGAAGACAACAGATACCTCCATCAGAAACTAAATTTGTTTGATTATGAAAGCAAATGTCTCTCAAACAGAAACGCCAGAGACCATCCTAGAACTGAGACTGGGGCCTTTGGGTGCCATCATAATATAAATATTTACAAATAACATAATAATAATAATAAATAATCTACTCAAAAAAACTCCTCATAGCAGTCATTTGAAGAAATTACAAACAGGGTGAGGCAGACCAGAATAATCAGATTGTGCAAAGACTCCAAATGGCTGAGGAAAAGTCATGTTTTTTGGCCTCAGTCACAGCTTTTTTGTACGTTCCTTTCCAACTCCAAATGGCTCCTCTGTTAAATCCCCTCCCATCTACACACCAGCCATTTCAGCTCCTGGGGATTACTTTTAAACTTGGTGGTCTCGAAGCACCAGAGACAACCAGGGTGCAGTGAGAGGCCAGGAAGCTGAAAGCCCCTGCTAACAACTGATAGCAGCTGTTAGGGTTAGCTGATTGACACCCTGATTTGAAGGGGAAAACAGATACTGTTCTGTATTTGTACAACCCCTAGCGCAGTGGGATCCTGGACCATGACTAGGGCTCCTAGGGGCTTCAATAATACAAATAATAAGATATACCTTGATCTCAGTAAAGATCCCACAGAAACTATTACACATGTGCAGAAGCCAACTTTCAATTGCTCATAACTTTATCACACACTTTTTTCAGTCTTGGTTGTGAACATACACTTCAGTGGCTTTTCACTTACCATATTTCAAAGTTCAGCTACAACTTAAGTCTCTGTGTAATGAAAGCGGTGGAAATTTTTCTTCTAAAGGAGAATGTATATTTTTCACCATTGCAGAATTCAAAATTGATAAAAAGATTTTATCTCATATGGCATGAGCCTTTAAACAGTCCCAAATATTTAAAGACATGCTGTCATCTGAAAGATTTCAAGTCATTTAAATACTTATATGTTGCCGTAAATATTTAAAGCACATTTAAGGGTGTCATTTTCAGCATATGATGTGACTTAAATGTTTATGGCAAATTAAAGATTATTTTTTTAAATCGTAGCAAATTAAATGCAAAAAAAAAAAACTTATGAAATGTTAAGGTTGTACAGTTAAACTAATCAAAAATTTGGAAATGCAAAGTTAAGGTGCCAATCACTATGCTAACTCAGTTATGTTACATGTACAGTGTATATACTATACAGCATTTTCTGTTTGCTGTTTTTGTTAAATGCATAGGTTAATGTGTTACTGTTTATGTCAGTAAATCTATATCATAATACATACAAGAAGTTCACCACAGCTGGGGCAGCGTTGCTAGTGGAATCCAAAATATTGCATTCCTGACTTTCAATGACTTCAACTGAGCAGCCTTACAGTGTGGTTATGGTCAAAAACAAAAGTGGCACTTCCTCAAAAGATTTGCTACCTGGGTGTATTTTAAATTTATTTTAATTACAAAAATAAGTGTTTACTGCCCCCCCCCTTTTTTTTTGTTTTGGTTAGCCTTGCAGAGCCAATACAGCCAAGAGAGATTGAACTGGATTATTTTTGGATTCAAGCACTATGTAGGGAATTGTTAACTAAGATGCAACTGCAGAATCATTACTACAAGTGATGATGCACAAACTAGAGAAAAAAGAAGGAAGCCAAACTTGTTGTTAGAAAAATAATATATATTTACTTGTAAAATAATCATATTAAGGACCTGATCCTGCAAGTTGCTGCGTACTCTCCACTCCTGTTACCACTCAGCAACTTGTCAGATCAGGCCTTTTGTACAGATATCTTTGAGAGTGAGTAAACATGGAACCCTACAATATCCTGTTCACAAAATGACATTGTAGGGTATAACCTCACTTTTACATTTAACCCATTTTTTTATGTAATCTTCCTATCAGCCATTATCTCAATTTAGTTGCTCACATGTAGTGACCTGGACTCGTACTCAGTTCCAACATTCCTGTGCAGCACTAGGAATAGCTGCATTGTTAGTTTCCATTCTTTGGATGCGATATTAAACTGAGGTCCTTTGTGTTATTTCTGCTGATTCTAATTGAAGTTAAAGATCCCATGACACATTTTGAAAAAACGTAGCTAGCTTATTTATTCTATTACTAAAAACCGGTTCTAATGGGTTAGCTATTTCTGAAAGTATAATAGATGCCATATCTGCCTACATAAATTTGTACTACCAATAACACTAGCTTATCACTTCTGGAATATGTTGATTGTGAAAAGTATTATAAGACAATCAAATGCTATTCTTCAAAATTAATTGAGTGATAGTACTGACTGAAATATGTAAT